CGAGATGCTGGTAGTTGTAACATAGACAGACGATCCAATTCGACGTTGAAAAAATTTAACTTGGAAATTTTGCACGCCCACACTCCCACGCACCTCGATTACATATACATACTGAATCAACGAGAGAATGAGAATCTATTTTACCTAATTACGTTATAGGTCCAGCTCTTCATTTGCATTAACGACACACGAGCTTTTTATTCCGATCATAACGCAGCGATCGCCTCTACTCGCTATTGAGCTTGAACATCCTCATTATATTCATTTGCATTGAAATAAAAATATAATTTATTGCTGAATACCCGGTAGCTTTTTTACCATCAATTTTTTTTCATTAAATAATAAATAACTATCAAAAAATGAATCACAAAACATTAACATTTTTTTTCGTTTTATTATCTCCGAAGAAAAATAATTTATGCATTGAAAAAAATTTTTAGCAAAATTTTTGTATGTTAAGACTTGCTATTGATTTTTTAAAATTGATCATATACGACTTATGTAGTTATATATTGAAGCACATAATCACAAATACAAATGGCTACGCCCACACAATTTGACAATTGGAGGTGATAGTCAATAATGGTTGTATATATAAATATCAAGTTGTCTTGTAAATTCGATTTTTTACGCATTAGTGCAACATCCAACGTTTAAACTTGCAAGATAATATTTTTTAACATTAGTGTAAAGTAAACAATACAATTCAATGCTAATATTATTTCCAATACAAGATGGTAATAAATATCATCTACTGATGATAATAGTTACTAATATTTTTTTTCCATCGATGATGTGACTATTACTATCTTGTATTGTAAATATTATAATATTGATGGTAATGATGGTAATTGATCACCATTATGCGAAAATTTGAAATTTTACCATAATTTGATGATAATCATTACTCATTACCATAAATTTCTCATCGTATAGAAACCTAATTATTGCACTAGTTCTCATGACGCTTGTAAGAAAATTTTTTTATTTTTTGGTTCAGCTCGTTGAGTTTGATCGAAAAAATACATTTGGTTCGATAGTTTATGAATGTATATATTTAAACGATTTTCGAAGTAAAATTTATAGATAAGCCGAATTAACTGGTTAGTTTAGGAATTATATCAATTCAAAAAATTAAAGCTATCAAACTTCTACTAGTTCTAAAGCATTTTTTCCTTTAAACAAGAAAAAAGGCCATTCGGCAGTGGAAATGGGAGTAGATTTCATAATGAATAGAAAAAAAAAAATACTAGGATTGTATATAAAAAAAAACCAGTGCAACAGCAAATTTCATAATTGACATAGTGGAATAGGACATAATTTTGAAACTACGTATATGATATGGTACTCAAATTGAAGCTTATTTAAAGAGCTTTCAGATGCAATTTACAGAGATTCAATAAGTTATCCCATTTAAAAGTTATTCGAGTAAGAAAGTGAAGAAAAATGAATTTTTAAGATTTTGAAATCCTGGCATTTCTAAATTACTTAACCAATTGAGCTTATCTTCGAACTTGAGTTTGGTATTTATCTGTAGAATAAGTATGTTGAGTTTGGTAACGATCCGTTGTAAATTGGCGACGCTATCGTCGTGACAAGCTGCGTTATATCGTATATATTACGATATACACATACATACATTCATATATGAACTTTTAAACCATATGTATTTTCTGACTCACTTCGTCGTGTTACGTCGAAATATAGCAAAATTTTTCAAAAGTTCCGTCACGAGGACCAATGCAATAGTTAGATTTCTATGAAATCTACTGAAAAACCACAAAAATAGATTTTTTCTGAAAATAGTAATTTTCAAAATTAAGCTTGAACATTACTTTACCTTTTTGTCACCTTTTCATCGATTATATGAAAATAATTTTTTTTATTTTTATTGTTTTCATAAAATGCTATACCATGTATTATTTTGTATCAATGAACGGCTGCAAGAAGTTTCGACTTCATGATCGATGAATAAAGAAATAATAATAATAATAATAATAATAATAATAATAATAATAATAATAATAATAATAATAATAATAATAATAATAATAACAATTTAATAAAAATTTTTAAACATAAATTTTATAATTCTATCTTAATTTTTCAAATATTAAATAACAAATCGATTAATAATTTCCAAATAAATTAATGGATGCAATTAATTAACTTAATAATTTAACCAAAACTATTTCAAGTACGATATACATTTTTACGATGAATAAATTTATTGTAATTAGAAAATTCCAGTGTCGCTTTAAACAATTTGAATAGAATTTTATTTGCATGAATATGAGTGATGTATAATTCTAGCACTTACACGATTAAATGAGTGTGGTGGACTTTCAAGCTCATATCTGATAAAATCCATCGGAAAATTATACGCATTAATTGCTGACATGTTCCATTAACAGTAATTAAATTGTCGACTTTCAATGACCATTATGTCACTCAAACTAACTATCAATAATTTCCATATTTCTTGTTTTATAAAAGCCAAAAATGTTAAAAATAAGCAAGTTAGTAGGCCCATCGTTGAAATGAATTACCAAAATTAAAACACTTGACGAAAATATGAAAATTTATAATTATAATAATGATCACGAATCATGAATGATGAGTTATTGAGTAGATAAAAAATAATGATTGATGGATTGATTTATTGGCAAAGTAAAGGGGCTGGATAAATTTTGACAGTTGAATGAGTTGTTGGAGGTGAGCAAGGGCATTTGTAAGATACGACAGATGACATGGTAACGGGAAAAGGATGTTAGATGGGATCTTTCCTCAGAACTTTCGGTGGAGCATAGAATGCCCCTTTAACAGAGCACGTGAAATCCTACTACTTTGTCCATAATTTAGTTAAGAGCGTCATGCGTGTGACGTGCACAGTATAGAATAGATCGGAACAGCCGAACCGCGAATAGAACTGGCGTGTGGCCAACCCCTGGATCCAGGATCCGTGCAGTAAGTGACTTATTATCTAGACCGTTTGTATTTGCTGCTGCCACACTAGACATCCCCTCACCCCACTTGCCCCATTTCTCCCTAGAGGGGGTAGTTCACCAGTCTATCGGCATGCATTACCGCGGGCGTACTCATCTTCCAATAAAAACATTAGCCATATTTATTGTTCCATTGTAATTTACTTCTATTTCCAACAAATTATTGCTACCAATTTCTGAATAATTGGGAGGCGTGACCCCTATAGCGGTCAGTTAAAAAAAATTTTTTTAACATCGATAAATCGATCATTATTATTCTAAATTTTAATACTCATACATGTTCTACGTTTGCTTGTTCTTTTACAACCTAGATCTCTAAGATTAACTCACATAAAATCAGTTAGATCATAAAATATATGAAATTAAATTTATAAATAAAACAGTTTTGTATTATATCTTCTTTTTTTTTTTTTTCGTTAATTAATTTTCTTATTCTTCATGATAAATGTGTATCAATCATTTTTATAATCTTTAAAAATTACAAATATCCGGAAAAAAATTTTACGTAAATTATATAGAAGCAGTCATGTTTAAATTCACATTTATACAAAGTTTCAAAAACTGTTATAATATAATAATCTCTAATGTACTAATTTAATGTAAACATGTTTTGTCATCTGGCCAATTTGGCTTTGGCATAAAATAAATTATCTATCTATCTATCAATCTACAATACTAGTTTATACCCTCTACGTCACTATACGTATGATAAAAATAATTTATCGAACCTAAACTTGAAGTTTTGTTGAAATATTTATCTTGCTACATAAATGTTTGCTTAAACGGGTTTAACAAGAGTCTCAAGTTTTCAAGAAAAATCAGATTAGTGGTACTCTGCGTTTTTGAACTTTCTTGCAAATTTTAAATTCTATAAATATGTTCTTTTTACGACATAAGTATCTCAATAATGTTTTGTATTAGATATACATTTTTACTTATAGAAGCTAATACTCGTTCAAACTATAAAAAATACATAAAAATCGATAAAATGTACCCAAAAATAACTGTAAATTAAATTATCTTCAATTACACGAAAATTATACATAAAAATTTTATACTGTCAATACTAAAGTGTATTAACTTAATCAACTAAAAACTAATTTTACGGTATAAACTGGCCAATAAAAAAATCTGCTAGCTTACTTATTTTAAAAATAAAAATAATTTTAAAAATTTCATGTGACCGTTTGTCCAAGACTACCCTGTATTTCAGTTTGTTTGTTATTTTTTAGTTTCATTCTATTTTAATATCTAGTTTTGCTGCATTTTGATACAACAAAGTTTCGAATTCGTTGAGCACTATATTGTCCCGCTGCTCTGTGATTTTACCAATTCACAAACCAACCTTGTATATTTACCAATACAACAATATTTATATAGATATATACATACACATACATACATACATACATAGATAAATACAACGAAACTTGAAGACTACGCATCAAATAGGACACTACTGTGTACTGCCGGCAGTATATTCAGTGAGAAAGTTTAACGTTAAAACTCGGTAAAAATTTTTCGTGTTCTTCTCGTGAAAGGACGACGCGAATTGGAGATTGCTGTGTCAGCTGGGAAACGCGTTTATATATATATATTATGTACTTTTGTTGCGATAAAGTATTGAACCTAAAGGACTTCCATTTCCGGTGTAGTAGTGAATAGACGTGTGCTAAAACATAGTGCTGTGAATTCCTAAATCTAGGGCTAGGGGTTTCGAGTTTTGAGGGAATAGAGTAGTGTTTTGAGAGGGTATTTGTAGGGGAATATTTTGATATAAATTTAATCATAGAGAGGGGTGGTATTAATTGCAGAAAGCCAATCTTCTCAATAGGAGTTGCTATAGAGAGGTTAGGGTTTTCAGTGGCAGAGAGGGCAGGGGGGCAAGGAGAGAAAGAAAGTCAGCGAAGGTGCAAGTGGCGCGCGCGGGGATTAAACCTAGCACTACTTGCAAGAGGTGGGGTAGGTAAGGTAGATAGAGTGGGTCTAGGGATAATGACGGATGGTAAGGCGGGTAGTCAGACGGGTAATTTGAATTTAAAGTTGGGTAATAGAAATTTGGTGCTCGGGAGGACTGCAAGTGCTGGGGACTTGACAGAAGCGATCTTAAGAGGAAAAAGGAAAGAAAGGGAGGCGGAATCTGAGTGGAGGTTAGAAAAGGATAAGATAGAAAGGGAGGTGGTTAAGAGGAGTAAGCTATTGTCAAAGTCTCCTGAAAAGAATAAGGAGCTAACAGAGGGGGAGATGGAGGCAATAATGAAAAAGTTGTCTGAAATAGACGTGAGAATTATGGAGGAATGCGCTGGTTTAGGGAGGAGAGTTGATCAATTAAAAGAAGAAGGGAAAAAGGAAAGAGAGGAGCTGAAGAAGATGTGGGAGGAGGACAGGAAACAGATGAGTGAAAGGATAGAAAGGCTGGAGGGCAGGTTGGAAAGGTTAGAGAAGGCAGCGGAAGAAGATGTGGACATGTCTGCTGATGGGGATACTACGGTGCGGAAGAGAGGACAGGTAGATAGTGGAACAGAGAGAAGAATGAGAAAGATTGAGATGGACATAGAGAAGAGGGAAAGGGAGATAAGAAGAAAAAATGTTATCTTGAAAGGTGTGGATATGAGAGAAAGTGTGGATTGGAAGACGGAGGTAGATAGAGTGTGGAATAAAATGGAAGTGGTGGGGGGTAGAAAAAATATGAGAAAAATTGGAGCTCTCGATAAAGAAGGGAAGGGATTACTACTAATAGAATTGGAGGGACTTGAGAAGAAAAAAGAGGTTATGGAAGCGAAGAATAAGCTAAAAGGGGAGAAAATAAGAGTGGAGGATGATCTGACCTATGAGGAAAGGAGGATAAAGAAGATAGTTATGGAGGAAGCCTTCAAAGAAAGAGCCGCTGGCAAGAATGTCAAGGTAGGATATATGAAGCTATTGGTCTGCGGAAATTTGAGGCAGTGGGATGAAGCTGAAGGGAGGTGGAAGCTAGAGGAGGGAAACGAGTAAGGGAGGAGGCTGGTAAAAACAACAGGGCGGGAAGAAAGGGAAGGGAGGGGGCAGGGGAAAGAGGTACTGTAAAGATGGCCAGAGTAGGGGGTAAAAGCACGTATCATATAGCTTTTTGGAATGTAGCAGGGGTAAGAAATAAGGAGGAGGACTTCTGGGTAGGCATAAGGGAGTGGGATGTGGTAGTGCTAATAGAAACTTGGGTAAATAGGAAGAAGTGGACAGAGATAAGGGAGTCATGGAAAAAAGGGTTTAAATGGCAAATCCAAGAGGCAAAGTTACCAAAAGGAAGAGGAAGAGCAAAGGGAGGGATATTGGTAGGAGTAAAGGAAGGTATAGAAATACGCAATAAGGGAAAATGGGATGAGGAAGGATGGGCAGAAGTTGAGGTACTCCTAGGAGGGGAGTGGTGGTGGATAATAGGGGTATATATCAATGGGGATATGGGGAGGAAGAAGGAGCTAATGAGTAAGTGGATGGATGAAGCTGGAGATGAAAGGATATTATTTGGTGGAGATTTCAACGCTAGGACGGCGTCGGAAGGAGGTCTGAGGACTGTGGATGACCAACTGGGAAGAAGCGTGAGAAGATCAAAGGATAATGTGTATAACAAGGATGGCAAGGAACTGTGCAGCTTTTTGGAGGAGAAAGGATGGGCAATAGTGAATGGATGTGTTAAGGGAGATGAAGAGGGGGAATGGACATTCGTAGGGGAAAGAGGCTGCTCGGTGATAGATCTTGTCCTAATAGATGAGAGGAGTAGAGATAGGATTATGGAGTTGAGAATTGAAGAAAGGACAGACTCAGATCACTTGACAATAGTGGTCAAGGTAGAAGTTCAAGGCAAGAGGTCGAGAGAGGGTTATAAGGAAAGGATTAATCGGACAGGGAGGGGAGTATGGACTCAAGAGGGTAGAAGTAACTTTCAGGAAGAATTCGGTAATGCGGGAGTTCAGGTAGGAAATTTAGATGAAGACTGGAGGAGGTTGAAAGAGAGAATAAGAGGAGCTATTAGGGAATCCGAAAAAACGAGGGTAAAGTCGAGAGGTGTATCCAGCTGGTGGGATGAAGAATGCAGAGAAGGTAAGGGAAAATTAAGGAGATCTTTGCAAAGCTTTAGAAAGAAGAAAATTCCGAAGGAAGAGTACTTTCTGGAAAAGAAAACATACAAGAAGCTATGTGAGGAGAAGAAAAGGTTGGAGAAGCAAAGATGGGAAGATTGGGTCAAGAGCGCCAGGACGGAAGGACAGGTATGGAAAGTAGTGAACGAGGGAAGAAAAAAGAGGAGTGGAATAAATAAAGATATCCCAATGGAGACATGGGATCTGTATTTCAGGGAGGTACTGGGGGGATCGGAGAGGAAGGTAACACGGGAAGGCTCAATGATTGAAGAGGAACTGGATGAGATGGAAGAGGACGAGATCTCTTTGGACGAAGTCAGGGAAATGGTTAAGAAGTTAA